GATAAATCTAATTTCAGCTGGCAATGTATTAAATATTTTCGGTGCAGTATAACTGAAAGATTGAGTGAAATGAATATTGCAAAATCTAGGAACATTATATTAAATTATAGTTATTAGACTGTCTAATCATAAAATTTTCAGATTTTAAATAAAAAATTTTTAAGTTTTATAGAGATATAAGTTTCTTATAGGTAAAATATTTAAATGTTTAAACAAATTTAAAGATGAAGTTAATATACCTTTCCAAAATATAACTCTAATGGCATGTTTCTGCAATATAAGTAGTGGTTTTATTTAATTTAAATATGCCCCACCCCAACAAACCAACCTATACTGGAGTTTGGAGTTAAATAACGCATAGTACACAGAAGTGGCCAATTGCAGTGAGGTATACAAAACGAACACGATAAAGGTTCCTTATAATTTTTTTGAAGTGTAGTTTCAAATGATTAGTGTGGTCCCTCCAGTTTAAATTTGAGTCAATAAACAATCCTAAATATTTAAAAGTAGACACACATTCAATCTTAAAGCACTTATGAGAACAGTTACCAAAACAGTCATACTTTACCAAACAATTACAAACAGGTAATTTTCTATAAGAATGGGAATGGCACAATAAATCGAAATCAGTCTGTAATAAGTTCCCAATAGTAAAATTCACATACTTAGTCTTTGAATTTATAATCAATCTATTTTTGCTGAACCAATGGCGAAGACTATTAAGATCATAATTAATACTAGCAACAACATCAAAATAGTTATCGCAAGCATAAGTAAAAACGGTATCATCTGCGAAACCAGTAACAACACCCTTAAAAGATTGAGAATATAAAGAATTTATGTATACAAGCAACGATATAGGGTCCAGAACAGAGCCCTAAGGCACTCCACAGCTAATTGAAAGTTCGTCACTAAGAGCACAACCAATCTTAACCCTTTGTTTCCGTTCCGACAAGTAAGAAGCGAACCAGTCATACATAAACCCCCTAAAACCTGCATTGGACAATTTTCTTAATAGCAAATTATGATCAACCAGATCGAAAGCCTTAGTCAAATCAATAAACAGAGCAGACGTAGCTTTCCCCATATTTAAAGAGTGGCAAATCTCCTCGCAAAATTTTAATAATGCTCCCTCTGTAGATTTACCACTCAGAAAACCAAATTGATTTTCACTAAAAAAAGCATTTTTATTCAAAAAGTAAACAACTCTGGTTTTAATAGCTTTTTCGAATATCTTTGAAAAAGTTGGTAAAATAGAAATAGGTCTGTAATTGTTAATGTCTAATTTATCACTTTTCTTAAATAGAGGGATAACTTCGGCAGATTTCAAACAATCAGGAAAAGATCCTGAAAAAACAGACTTATCAAAGATATAAGCTAAAACATGAATAATCGGCCAAGATATTTTTCTTACAATTTTATTAGTTATCCCATCTGAAGTACCAGAATCCGAATTATCTAAACTATTAATTATTTTGCGTTCTTCCAAGGAAGTTATCGGTTCATAAAAGAAGCTAGTTCTACTATAAACCTCATCACTAATAACAGAATTATCAAAAAGCCAACTAGAGTTCGGTTCACCAGAAAGTAACGGCACCCTTACAAAATATTCATTAAATTTTTGAGCCAAAAATGACTGATCAAATATAACATCACCATCAATTTCAATGTTTATTTCACTATGGGAACGGTCCCTATTTAGAAGATTGTTAACTAACTGCCACTCTTTCTTAGAATCACCTTTAGCATTATTAAATTTACCCAAACAGAAATTATCTTTTGACTTTTCAACAGAAGTTCTTATGCTTTTACTAAATTTCTTTACATAGTTTCTCAATCTCGTATTATCAGGACACCTTTTTAATATTTTCGGAAATTTATTTCTTCTTCTAATATCTCTAACCATACTATAAGAATAAATGGAAGAACAGATTGAAATATGTCCACCCAAAATATTAATAAATTTACTAAAAGCTAAATTCGAATCAGGTTCATCATACACAGTATCCCATGCCTCATACATAAGCATTTCATTTAATTTAGCAAAATCTATACTTTTAACATTGTTATTTAAAAATGGATTATTGACAGTATGCTGGATACCTGGAAAAATTTTCTGAAACCGCGTAAATAGGTGATTAATACACGTTGAAGATGTATTGCACACTCTCGAAGGCTCATTAATGCAAGACTCGAAGCCATTTGCGGATAATAAGAGAAAAAAGAATAATCATCTACATCATTAGAATTACCAAGCAAATCTATATTAACATCACCAAGAATAACGCAGTTTTTGGTTTTTACCGATTCAACAAAATGACCAAATTCATTATAAACTCATTAACTTTGGAACACTGCAGTCTATATACCATCATGTCTACATACCATCATATTAATTAAGAAACATTTGCAATAGTTAATTATTAAGAAATATTCACAATAATTAATAATCAATAAGTCAATTAAAAAACTTAAGCATGATACGATAGAATAATAAACCTATAGATAGATATATCAAAGTATATCTATTAATAAGTAGTTCGACTCTCCGTCTACATCACACTAATGCAATCACTCACCAATATTTGTATACAAGGCGGGAGTTTTATTTTTGTAACTTATTCCAGTACAAGGTGGCAAAAAAGGTGTATTCATATTATAAAAGCGAAACGGAAAAGAAATGTTTAAAAAAAATTATTAAAATTTATATAATATAATTTTGAAAAATAATAAAAATAAATTTTAAAAAGACGAATCACCAATGGGGGTGATCGCATGACCCCCGATCTCCTTCTAAATGGGTCCATCAACGCCGATCTACTATGCAATAAGTGGTCTCCCCCAGAATTCATGAGACCAGCCTCCGAAGAGTGTGGATTTTCCAGCATTACTGGATTACCACCTGGGGTATTCAATCCTTGTGTTTTGTTCATTGCATTTGTTTGTTTTATTTCGGAGTTTTCTTCTCTTAGCCTTTGAGAATAATTTCCTCGTGCAAGGCAGCACATATAATTTCTGGCGCCTCTCAGGAATCAGACGCAGACCAGAGAGCCGCTCATTGTGAGTCCGTCGCGTCTGGACTTTCATTTGGATTTTAGTGGACTCTTACCACAAGCATACCTTGCTGCGGATATTTCGTAGCCCGATCCACCGGGATCTCATTTAATTTTAGTATTTAAAATTTAAAATTTAATTTAATTTAAAATTGTATTTTATTTTCTTTTTACATCTTCTCCGTTTTATGATTTTAATCAAAGTGACCTATTTAACATTAAAATTTGCTTCGGTACAAAAATTACCGTTAAGAATGCAGTTAACATAATGTTTTAATGGAAAAATGCATTAGCCTAATTTAAAAACTATATAAAAAAATATAAATGGGCATTGACCTCGAGTGTGAATACACTGTTCTTTTCTGTTTCCTTTTCGCCTTGAGATGTCTCTAATATACTCGTACTCTGTTGTAGCATTTATAATTTGTGGCTACACTCGGCCGGTCAGGTAGTGCAAAAATTATGTTCAAATAAATCAAGATGTCAGCTGACATTGGATACCAAAACAAAGGTAAGATCACTTTGCTTTTTACCGACCGTATTGTGTAAACAATAGGTAGGTTATGTGATGGCAACAAATTTTGCATATCGAGTTTTCGGTGGGAACGTACTTCTCCATAGTAGGGAAGTGTAAATAAACTATTTTTAGCAACCTGTCGGTCTGTCGGTCTGTCGATCTGTCGGTCTGTCGGTCTGTGTGTGCACGCGTGTATCTCAAGTTCGGCTGAACCGATTTTGATGAAATTTTATATGTAAGTTTGTTTCCACCATGGCACGGATCGATCAACTTTTGGTATATATCAGGCCTCGGGAACTGCACTCTTTAGCGGGCCTGTTTTACATTTTTGAACATTTTAAAGAAAATGTTCAACCGATTTACTTGAAATTTTATATATAAGCTCAGCTCGACCGTCCGCAAAAATTCGTATATTTTGGAAGAAATCAGGCATCGGCAACTAGACGTTTACTACGGGCCAAATATACAATTTTGTGTATATAAAGAGAAATAATCAACCGATTTCATTGAAATTTAATATATGAACTCCTCGTATTAAAACAATGAACATATAAATTTTTTGGAAAGATCAGGGCTCGAAAACGGATTTGCGGGCCGATTTTACATTTTTCACCATTTTGAAGAAAGTATTCAACCGATTTACTTGAAATTTCATATATAAGCTTTGCTCGATCATACGCAAAAATTCCTAATTTTTGGAAGAAATCAGGCATCAGCAACTGGGCGTTTACTACGGGCCAAATATACATTTTTGTGTATATAAAGAGAAATAATCAACCGATTTCATTGAAATTTAATATATGAATTCCTCGTATTAAAACAATGAACATGTAAATTTTTTCGAAAGATCAGGCATTGGCAACTAGACGTTTACTACGGGTCAAACATACACTTTTGTGTATATAAAGAGAAATAACCAACCGATTTCATTGAAATTTAATATATGAATTCCTCATATTAATGCAATGAACATATAACTTTTTTGGAAAGATCAGGGGTCGAGAACTGATTTGCGGGCCGATTTTACATTTTTCACCATATCCACAGAACAAATTGATGGAATTTCTTGAAATTTGATATTTGAGTTCTAGTTGTTACCGAAACTAACTGGCGAGCATTTCAGGGAATTCGGGTAGCACAAAGCGAAACTCTACTAAGAGTCAAATTTACATTTTTCTAAGTATGTTAACTATAAGCTTACTAATGTCCTAAAAATTGGAAAGAAGTATTTAACAGACATTTTTATAATATTCTGTAACACTTTCATTTAACTAGACAATACACAATGCGGTCGGTTATGTGCTGACCACATCAGACTTTTTTGTTATAATAAAATGTTATTAAAGTGTTTTAATATATTTATAAGGTGTTCTTTTGCAATGTATTTTGTTAATGTATCATACATTGCATTTGTTTACATTTTGGCCTGTGTTGTTTTTGTGCTTAAAGTACTAATATTTCTTATTTCAGAATAAAATTTTACATCAAGGAGACCAACATGAGGACCAGAAGTCTGTACCGACCAAGGATAATGGATCAAAACAAGTAACATATAAATGTTTTCGCAAAATATTAATTTCTTATTGGAATGGGAATGCTTTTTAATCTTGTTGTTGTTTTTGCTTTTCTTTTTAGGTTTTTTGTAGCATGTTGGACCGCAGCTAAACATTCTCCTGGCTTTGATGTCCACGTTTAGTGGGTATCAATAACACTATTATGATTCATGCCAAAGGTAAGCGGTTATTTTCCAATTATTACATCCATACGAATTAATTCTGCATACTAAAGTTCTCCTCTTAATTTATTTTTAGCTTCAACACGATGACGTCACCTGGAAGAAAAAAGGTGGATAAGGAAATGAAGGGGATATAGCGTCCCGACTAGCTTTCAGCAGCGAAAGGATTTAAGGATGCGGAAGGAATTGCAGCAACCATAATTTTTTTTTAGTTTTAATATTATAGTAGTTTTGTTTAGAATAGTTTTTAAGTTTATTTATTTTAAATATTATGATATTTTTAAGATGAAATTTGCTAGGTTCCAATTCGCGTTATCTTATAAGTAGGATCGGTTTGTTGAGTAGTGTTTTTTTTTTGTTTTTAAATTTATTTATTTTTTTTGTTCGCGTTTCGTTTAATTTAAATTAATTCTTTTCTATTAGAGTTGTCTTGCTCGACCGGTAGTACGCATATTTTAGTTATCGCGCGTTTTAATATTAAATTTTTAGTTCGAATCGTACCAAACCATCCGCACCAGGGTGCGTCTCGATAATTCGTTCCATGATCCATCTGCTCGGTGTTAGGTTCTCCTCCTTTAGTAATACAAGATCACCCACCTTGACATTTTCTTGTTTTGTTGCCCATTTAGGTCGTGGTTGTAGTCGAGAAAGGTACTCCTTGTTCCAACGACGCCAAAAACTTTGCACTAAGTTTTTTATCTGACTCCAACAATCTAATCTGCTGATATTAGTATCCAGTACCGATGGTTCTGGTGGTGATAATAATATGTCACCAATCAGGAAATGTGTTGGTGTTAGCGCATTTAAATCCTCTGGATCACTTGATAGTTAACATAAAGGGTGTGAATTTAAACAGGCCTCAATCTGATGAAGTACGGTGGTAAATTCTTCATAGGTTATTACCATGTTGCCAAGTGCCCGCTTCAAATGATACTTGGTGGAGCGAACACCTGCTTCCCACAATCCGCCAAAATGAGGGGAACCTGGAGGATTGAAGTTAAATTTTATTCCTATATTTTCAATTAGCAGCGCGATTTCATTATTTAGTTGCTTTAGCATCTCATTTTTGTGTTTCGATAGGATTTTATTTGCACCTTTGAAATTAGTAGCGCAATTAAAATGGAGTTCCTGACATAGGCCTCTTCTTGCACAAAATCTTTGGAACGCCGTGACAAATCCTTCAGCCGTCAAGTCCATCACGAGTTAGAAATGAACTGCTCTGACTGACATACAAAAAAATAGAGATATATATGCCTTGTATTTTGACGGCTTCCTGGTTCTTGACGATTTTAGTTCAAACGGCCCGCAGTAATCCACACCGCTGTGTGAAAATGGTCGAATTTTTTTTACTCGTCGAGTTTGCAAATTGCCCATTAGCTGTTTCCGTGTGTCAAGTTTTTGTCTAAATTATTTGATACATTTATTAACATAAAATCTTACTATATTTCGCACATTAGTTATCCAATATTTTTCGCGTAATATTGTAATCATTAATTGAGAGCCATCATACAATGTTTCTTGGTGAACCTTTTAATAAATTTGTAAAATGATTTTTCTGATATGCCCAATCTGAGGTAAACAATCTGCCACGAATTCGTAAAATTCCTTCGGAGTCCAAAAATGGAACTTTTAGAATCCTTTTCAAGATTTGTAAGTAATTTTTGAATCTCACCGTAGAAATACCTTGCCTGGGCCCGCTGAATTAAGATGTTTTGCGCCACCTGCAATTCCGTTGCAGTTAAAAATTTAGGTTTTTAAGTCTTGTTTTTTAAAATATGAATGAATTTGGAACAATAAGCAATAACACGAACCATGCGTGTAAATGACGAAAAGTTTTCTTCAAATTTATCATTTCTTAACTGCATGTGCGCCACACATATTTTTCTCTTTTCGACCTCTGTTGTTATAATTGACTTTTCGGGCCAATGTCTTTTAGATTGAGGTAACCACTTTGGTCCTCGCCACCGTAACTCATGTTTTTGTAATTCACTTGGATAAACTCCTCTAGACGCGCAGTCCGCAGGATTGAATTTTGTTGGAACTTGATTCCAAATGTTCTTGCCAAAAGCGCTATATATATGTGAGACTCTATTGGCTACAAATGTTGTCCAAGTTTATGGACGTTTTTGTAACCAGGCCAGAACAATCTCCGAGTCAGTCCAGGCGTAAATATTTTTTATATAATTTCAAGCTCTAAAGCACGTAGAACATATTTAATAACTTTTACTGCTAATGACGCAACACAAAGCTCAAGCCCGGGTAAAGAAATTGTCTTTATAGGCGCAACTTTAGTTTTTGACATAATTAACGACACATTTCTTCGACCATCGTTATTAGTTATGCAAACATAAACAGCAGGAGCATATGCTTTTATGAACGCATCCGAGAAGCCGTGGATCTCTATTGATTGTCTGTTTCGCTTGAAATGAACCCATCTGTTACTTTTTATTTGTTTAACATCTTTTAATTTTTGCAGATAGGCCAGTCATTCTTTAGTTATGCTTTCATCAAGGTTGTCATTCCAATTTTTTCCTGAAAGCCAAAGATTTTCCATTATTATTTTTGCCTTGATTATTATAGGTGCCAACCACCCTAGTGGATCAAAAAGCTTGGAGGTTTGCGATAGAATTTTTCTTTTTGTCCAATCTGTCTCACCGGAATCAAGATTAGATACATACGAAAATATGTCTGATGTTGGATTCCAATAAATCCCCAAGGTTTTGACCGTTGGTTCGTTATTCTCATGAATCGACAACAATTTCTCACGTTCTCACTCGCAATGTCCTTTAGGATTGCAGGACAATTAGACATCCATTTTCGGAATTTAAAGCCGGCACTGCTGGTCACTTCTATAATTTGCCTTTGTGTTTCAATTGCCGAAGGCACTTCGTCAGCCCCAGATAACAAGTCATCCACATAGAAATCTGTTTTCGCAATTTGGCAAGCTATAGGAAACCGTTCTGCTTCATCTTTAGCCAATTGCAATAGAGTTCGCGTAGCTAAATAAGGTGCACTTTTTGTTCCAAAGGTCGCCGTTAATAAATCATAATCTCGAATAGGCTCAGTTGTCGTTGCTCGCCACAAAATACGTTGGTAATTTGCATGATCGGGTTTTATCCAAATTTGCCGATACATTTTCTCGATATCTGATGTAAACGCTACTTGATGCTTCCTCCATCTTATTGGAATCGCCGCTAACTCGTCCTGCACAGTAGAACCTCTATAAAGCATGTCATTTAAAGATTTACCACTACTAGTAGCTTTCGAAGCATCAAGCACAACTCATGACTTTGACTTTGTAGTTGAACTAGATTCTTTGATGAGCGCATGATGAGGAAGATAAGCTGAGTTATATGATAAGCTCCTTATTATTTGGTCGAATGAATACAACTCGATGGAATTGGTCAACTTCATGTGGCCCATTGCGATGTATTCATTCAAGCAATTTTCATACTCTTGTTGCAAGGCTTGATTTTTTTAAAATTTGTTTAAAACTTGCTGAAATCGCGTGATTGCAATACCTCTAGATCTTCCAAGATGTAGCTCAGGTGTCGCTTGTTTTAGAGATAATGCCACTTCATAACGCCCGTTTGGTAGCCTAGTTGTTGTTCTTTCATAAATCTCCTCCTACAACTCTTCTTCTTTACTCAAGATTCTAGGCCCGTCACTAATCTTCTCTAGCTCCCAAAAGGCTCTTAATTGATCTTCAAAGGATGCGCCTACATGAAAAGTTTTTAATATTATGTTGTTTTGAGGTTTTACACCCATTCTGCCGGAGAGCATCCAACCAAACACTGTATTTTGGGCAATTGGAAGATCCATTCCATCCTTAATTAGGCTATCCACTAATATTTGACCAAATATATCTGCTCCGATCAATAAATCTATTCCGCCAGTCTCGTTGAACTTCGAATCAGCAAGTGGTAACTCCTTGATAAAGTTCCAATCACGTGTGGAGAAACTTGATCCTGGTAAAACGCCTGCAACATTCCTCATAACCAGCCTCTGCATCTCGATTGATTCCTTGGACAGAAGTGACTTGATTACGAAGTTAACTCTGGCCCTAATGTGATGCGATTCATGATTTCCAATTCCCTGAACTATAGCACTGATCGACTCTTTCTTTAAATGCAGCAGTTGTACAATTCTCTCTGTAATAAATAACGCCTGGGAACCTTGATCTATTAGCATGCGAATCACAATTTCTTGTCCAGTTGAACTCAATAACTTAACTTGAGCTGTTGCTAAAAGTACATCGTATTTAGAAATCGAACTAGTATTGACTGACAGATTTGGGCTGGGATTAAACGTGGGACTCGTTGCATTAAGTGTCTGACTCTGAGATGCTGCAGAATTACCAGTCACGCTGCTATTTTGATTGGGTACCTGATCTCGACCTCGATCATTTTGTTCAAAATGAGTCATGGTATGATGTCGGCGCTTGCAATGAAAACAGCTGTGCTTACTTGGGCAGGTAGCTAGCATTTGTCCAGGCAACAAGCAATTAAGACACAGTTGATTGCGCCGCACAACTTCAGTTCTTTGGCTAGGCGACATTCCCTTGAACTTAATACATTTGCGCAAAATATGTGACTCACGACAAACAGGGCATTTAACAATGTTATTAATATTGCCACTGTGATAAGTCCTGGCCTGAACTTTTGGGACGTTAAACTGTGATGCACCTCTGTTTTCACGCTGATTAGATTTTTTAGCGGAAATAGCTTCCAAAGCCCGAAATCATGACTCCAAAAATTCTTTTAATTCGGACCAAGAAGTCAACTCCTTAGTTTTACTAATTTCTTGCTCCCACAATTGATGACTTTCGGGTGGCAGCTTTTAAACTGTCAAATAAACAATTATCGGATCCCAATCTTTAGTTCCAAGACCAATATTTTCTAAGACTTGCATGCATTTACTAGTCGTGTCCAACAGGGCTCTAACGCCTGAAGCAAATTAATGAGACACTACAGTTTGGGTTAAAAGTCGCTTTAATTGCACTAATATTCTTTTATTCTGATACCTATCCTTTAATAATTCCCAGGCTCATAATTACTCCCAGTAATTTGAATGTGCCGTAAAAGTTGCTCTGCATCAGCTGTGAAATGCAATTTGAGCTATTGGAGTTTTTGTACATTAGATAGGGAATCATTATTGTGAATCAGGGTATTAAATAAATCATGGAATGTAGGCCAACGTATATAACTGCCGTTTAATTTTTCTAAATTGATTTTTGGAAGTTGTATTCCATGACTACTATCGCTATGGTGTACAATAGTGGTGACGTCAGCCTTAGGCTCAAGTTTCGATACTTCGACGGTAAATTCTTCATCTAATCGCTCTTCAATCGCACCATAATTTTCGTTAAAGAACGGCTGGACCTGAGAATACACATAACCAATAAAATATTCATGACTAATCTCTTTATCCTCGTTTTAGTCCCGATGATAATTTTTAATGAATGATTCAAGTAAATCTTTTTGATTACATTGCAACTTTAACCGCTTATCCATAAATATCAATTAAATTTTTCACTTAGATCTGGTCCTTTTTTCTACAAAATTTCAACGCGATTATTTCGCTTAAATGATGCAACTCAATTCTAGATACTATACCAGCCTATTCAATTTCAATATAAACCTCAGCCTCATAACAATGAGTGAAAACACCGTACCTTCAATTTAATTGACCTTAAATATACGTTAGGTCAGCAATTTTTCTATAACCAGAAATTTTAATTATTTCCTCCAATATCACTATAGTGTTACAGATTCGATCGTAAATGTTATAGATATTCTATATATTTAAGATCCAAATCGATTATCAAAAGCCGCAAGAAAAATATTTCGCACACTCCAAATTTCAAATGATAAATCAACCACGTATTTTTTGTACTTTTTGTAATTTTTAGAATCTTTATTTTGTTTTTATATTTGCAAACCTCAAAGAAGTTATATAGTTTATTTTTTATTAAAAAAAATTTCTTTAATTTTTTATTTATTTGATCAAAATAAATCAAATAAATTTTATTTAAAATGTATTAAGGAAAGGTATTTATATTTCATTTTTGTTACCTTGAAATCAATATGTAGAAAGCACTTCTCAAAATGTACCTTTATATTGACTTCAGTAGATCGCAATCAGCTCTGATCACAATGTTGAAAGTAACTTCTTTGTAAGATCCTTCCCCAACGCAACTTAGAAAAAATAGGTACCACTTATTAGTACATTTGCACAGCACTCGTTTTAAATTATACGTATTATTAAATCAAATTTCCAATTAAGAAAAAATTTAACAAATAAAATTAAATGTTCACATTTGAATGTTTCTCGCGAGTTTATAGTTTTTATTTTATACAAAAATTATTTTTTTTATCACAAAAAAAAATATATTGTATTGAAATTAATGCATTTTAGTCTATTGTTCATACTCAAAAGTTTATTTTCACGACACTAGCAAATTTCTTTTTTTTAATGTTCTCACACTAAATTTATTATAACGTATGAATTTTTAAGTTATACGCGCACTACTCATAATGTTTTTACCGTCTGGAAGTTAGTTTTTTTTCTGAAATTTGCTTTCCCCAACGTAATTGAAGAAAAGCGCGCCACACCTTGAATATAAATTTTAAATTGACTTAGGGTACGTAATGCCACTATCCGGCTCGAAGGACCAAAATGTTTTGACACAAAACGTAATTTTGTGGATCAGAAACATGCACCACAAGAAATTCAAAAAAAAATACTAGCTTCGCCACTAATTAAGGTTATTTGTTGTAATTAAAATGCAAACACATTTTTTCAGTTAAAATTTTTAATTGTTGTAATATAATTATTATTGCTCTTTTACATTTCAAATTTGTTTTATAATATCATTTCATTCATGTTAAATTTATATAATTATTTAAAATAGTTAAATAAAATGTTAAATTGTTACACTCTTTTTAATATATCTCATTTAATTTTAGTATTTAAAACTTGAAATTTAATTAATTTAAAATTGAATTTTATTTTCTTTTTACATCTTCTCCGTTTTATGATTTTGATCAAAGTGACCTATTTAACTTTAAAATTTGCTTCAGTACAAAAATTACCGTTAAGAATGCAGTTAACATATGTTTTAATGGAAAAATGCATTAGCCTAATTTAAAAACTATATGAAAAAATATAAACGGGCATTGACCTCGAGTGTGAATACACTGTTCTTTTCCGTTTTCTTTACGCCTTGAGATGTCACTAATACACTTGTACTCTCTTGTAGCATTTGTAATTTGTGGCTACACTCAGCCGGTGAGGTAGTGCAAAAATTATGTTAAAATAAATCAAGATGTCAGCTGACATTGGATACCAAAACAAAGGTAAGATCACTTTGCTTTCTTTTTTTTTGTTTTATTTAAATAAATTTTTAAAGTTAAAATTGTGCCTAAAAGCAAAATAAATGTTATTAAAGTGTTTTAATATATTTATAAACTGTTCTTTTTCAAGTGCCGAACCCATTTGCAACGTATTTTGTTGATGCATCATACATTTCATTTGTTTACATTTTGGCCTCATCTATTTTGTTATTTTTGTTTCAGAATAAAATTTTCATCAAGAGGACCAACATGAGGACCAGAAGTCTGTACTGACCAACGATAATGGATCACAACAAGTAACAGGTAAATGTTTTCGCAAAATATTAATTTCTTATTAGATTGGGAATGCTTTTTAATCTTGTTGTTTTTGCTTTTCTTTTCAGGTTTTTTGTAGCATGTTGGGCCGAAGTTGAACAACCCGGGATCCAAGTTGGGTATTGAAGAACTAGTTGCATTAATCCTCTTTTCAGCCTTGTGAGTGGTGTTTCTGGCTGTTTCCGACAAACGTTTGTAACTTGCGAAGGGTGTATCGTTCAATGATATTTTAGGTGGAGTTCTCGGTGTTAATGTACTTCTATGGGAAAACAATGTTTGGTCCCCCCCAGAATCCATTGGACCGATCTCCAAAGAGAGTGGATTTTCCAGATCAACTGGTCTGCCACCTGGGGTAATAAATCCTTTTGTTTTCGACATTGCATGTTTGAATATGTAAATGAATTTGAATGCACATTCATAAAGCGAGCCGCTTGCTGCAAGACAGACGCCCGCCCGTTGCGACCAACTATTGGAACAGCCGCTCCGAATTAAGGTTTGATGATATCTCTGCTTTTCCGCAATCCCGTTTGCTAGCTGACCCGAATTACACCACCTGGGTTGGAACCAGATTTTTCATAGCGGTTGCTCAGCGTAACCGGAGGGACCACTTGCAGATGAGATATGGCGTTGAGTAGCTTATGCTAGGCTGTGGTAACAGGAAACCCAACAGTTATATTGCGCAATACTACCCTAATAACCCCCCTTTAATTAATAAAAAGCAGAAATAGTAGCATTTATTTGAATTCACACATTTTATTAATTATTTTTATTTTATGAAATTCAAATGTTTATTTTGCTCTTGTACTGTAAAAATTTTTTAAGGTTTTATGACTTAAATTAAAGCTTAACAAACTGGGCTAAATCCCGTAAAATAAATTTTGAAATTATCCCTACAATTGTAGGAATAAAGAAAATAAAATAATCCTTTTTTAGTTCCAAATTTCAAAAACTTGAAAATTTTCTAAAATTTGAGTGCTTGTTTCCAAAAATAAAATATGTACAAATACTAGCTTTTTCAATAACTGTTTGTTTAAAACCCCAATCTTTTTTCGGAAGAACAGTTATAAACAAAACAAACTTGGAGAAATTTCGTGGAAATTCGTTAAATCCTTGTACTTCATAAAGCTTTGAGGTTCGACACCCATTCTGCTCAAAAGTTCTAATCATTTTTTATTCCACCAATGGTATAAGCTGTTGTATACATTTCAGAATCCCCCCCGTTCATTGCCTAAAATAATAAAATCTTGGTATCTTGGCACGACTATGTCGCTTGACAAGGATTCCTGAGCCTCGGGGTTCCCGTTGTCTTCCAAATTTCTCCGCAGGATGCCCTCCAGAAGACTCCTTGCAGCTTCCTCACCACACTTTAGTATATCATGAGGTTATCGGTTTTTAAAAGGAGATTTACAATTTATCTCAGAAACTTTAAAGATATTTGATAATACTTGTTTGAATATCCCAAAAAAGCTTCGTTGATTCCGGGCAATCCCAGGAACTATCATTATATTGGAGCAAAAAATTTTCGTATTACTGACCCCAATTTTTTTGTACTTTCGTAGAACCATAATTATCAATATAAAAATTAATAGACTAAAATTTTTATTACAAAATTATTGAAGTAACTTTTATAACTTTTTTATAGTTCCCGTAACTGATATAACTTCTTGATAGTTGAGTAAATTTTATAACGTGGCCACTTTTTTATTGTATTTATAAATTTAAACTAAAGGACTTCGACACGATAGCCTAATGAATGGAAATATTCAGTAGATAAAAGATGGTTGTCATGCCGTATGAAAAGTTTTACAGAATTAACACACGCGATGATTTTGACCTTTGCCATCATGTCAAATTTGGTATTTCTGCAACTATCACGTATACGACTACAATAATAGAACTTAGAGGCAATGCTATCATATAATCCGATATATGATTAAGAATAGTCCACATTTACAAAAAATTTTGTTACATTACCAACAGCGTCCCGCGTTAAATAAATATCAACAATCAAAATGATCTGAATAAATGGTAAAACCCATCTTGAAATTCTGATTGTAGCAATTAAGAACTTGTATAGTCTAGTGTAGAATAAATAAACAATGTTCTTTAGGCTTTCATCAACGTTTCGATTCAATTTCAAGTCTTTATCAGGGATAAAATAAAAATTTAATATGACAAGAATGTTTCTGGAATATTTTATACATTTCTTGTAATATCAATTATTATATCGAAATTTATATTATACAATCGAAATTTATATCAATAATCATACAGTAACACCATGGTAATAGCTACATTCATATATTTAAGTTATATATTGTGGAAATAATTTTAATATTGAGTCATATCAATACTTGTACCAGGGAGTTAATAAATAGTACATTTTGGTATTCACGCAAATAAAATTAAGTTTTTTATATATTTTCAATTCCAATATAGAATATTCAATTTATATTTTAGAGATGCTCTACCGATTTTACCGAAATTTTTATAATTCTGTAAAGAAGTAAGATACCAAGGGTTGAAAAATATGCATAAAAATTTTTTAAATTTTTAGTATTTTTAGTTGGCGTTGCTTTTTTTCGAAGTACAATATCAACTTTTATCAATAAAATTTTAATGCTAGCAACTTTTTGATTTATAATCTGGCAAAAAAATTATTTTAATTTCCCATATTTATAATTTTATGACATTAAATTTTTGACTAAAAATATTTATTGATTACATATTATACACGTAAGCATATGTATAGTTTGTTATAGTTTTATTAAAAAAATAAAAAGCGGAATAGATATATTTTTTATAAAGTCTGAAGTAAGATCGATATATTTATTCAACAATGTATTAAGAATATTACGAATTTTTGAATTCGTTGCTGTTTTTTTCTTTAAATGCCACTGATCGTGTCATATTTATTATTATTTTTTTCTTACGCAAAAAAGAATTTAATATTTAAAAAAATCTCAGGTTATTATACACATTTTCTAAAAAGCTTCCCATTTAAATTCTATTGAATGAAAAAGAGAGAAAGGTAGGAGGAAAGAAAAAATTAAAATTTTTTTCAAATTCATATTTTAATATGGTTTTAAATTCAAATGAATGTATGATTTTTCATGTACATTTTTTATTTCTCAATAAGGTAAGTTGAG